AGCTTATAATCTTTTAGATCCTTTAATACGAATCCTCTTTTCTAATTTAAATATTCTTTCTATTGACTTATTTGCTTGTTCTCTAGATTCTTAATTAAATTTTCTTCATCTTGAAATTTGTGGTGTTTTTAGTCTTTTTCTCCTATATTCTTCTGTCACTTTCTGACTCCTCTTTCCTTATGACTAAGAATAGGAGGGGCTAGTCAAGCCTTCTGCAGTGTTGGGGAATTTACTTGGTCCCTGCCCCAAGTAGCTTCTGGTGATACAGTCCTGGCCCTAGCTGGATTCCAGTCCCTTTTCCTTTAGGGCTGTAACAACTATTCACCTTGGCTTCCTGTTTAACTTCATTCTATTCTCTAACTCTCTAGCTAGGCTGAATTAGCATCTGTCATTTTTTACAGAGTTGGGGGGGTGTGGTAGGATGGGCAGCCTGGGCAGAGTTTCCAAAGTCTTGGGGGACTACTCAAGTTAGAAAGAAACCCATTTTTCCCTCCTCTTACTCCTCTCCCTCCTCTCTATGTGGCTATGATGTCTGCTACTTGTTGAAATGGGTGGTAGGGGAAAGTCAGGGATAAGGTGCATCCTGGCAGAATCTCTGAACCAGCAAGAAAATCTTTGAATGGGTCGCAAAGCACAGACTCATGGTTTAGTTTATGTCTCCTGCCAGTATATACTGGTAGGGGAGGGGTGCTGAGTGAATTCAGATTAATGTTCTCTACTACCAATTCTGAGGCTCTTACTGGGCTTTTTGCTTTCCTTCTCCTGTGTATTCAGCTATAATTGCTCTGCCTATGGAACATAATACCTCTTGGAGGGTTTTTTGGTTTCATTTATTTGTTTTTTTGAGAATTAGTTAGGACTGGAGAACATGTCTAGTCATCCATTTTGCTAGTTTTGCGACCTGGCTCCTCTGCTCAGTAAATTTCACTCAACAATGACAACAGCAATAATAGCTAGCATTTATATAGAGCCTACTATGTGCCAGGCACACACTTTTACAGATATTACCTCATTTGATCCTCCCAACAACCTTGGGATGTAGGTGCTTTTATTATCCCCATTTGACAGTTGGGGAAACTGAAGCAAAAAAAAAACTTAAGGGGCAGCTAGGTGGCGCAGTGGATAGAGCATTGGCCCTGAAGTCAGGAGGACCTGAGTTCACATCCGGCCTCAGACCAAACACTTGACACTTACTAGCTGTGTGACCCTGGGCAAGTCACTTAACCTCAACTGCCTAAAAAAAAACAAAAAAAAACCAAAAAAAAAGTTAAGTGACTTGTTCAAGGTCACATAGGCAGTAAGTTTCTAAGATGAGATTTGAACTCAGGTCTTCCTGACTGCCAGCTCAACATTCTATCTACTGCATCACTAGCTGCCTTAGCAATGAAAATAGCTGGGATCATTCTTCTTTTTATAAGGTGGGGAGAGATGCTGAAAAATAAAACAGTTATACTTAAAGGAGCACAATGTCTTTTTATATTTTTTAAAATTAAACATTGATTTTCTTTCTCTCCCACCTTTAATCCACATTGAACAAAGGAAGAAAGGAAAAGAAAAAGAAAACCTCTGTAACAAATCTGCATAGTCAAGCAAATTCCTGCATTAGCTATGTCCAAGAATTATATCTTATTCTGTATCTTGAGTCTACCACATTTGTCAAGAGGTAGATAGCATGTTTCATCGTCATTCATCTGGAATCATTGTATATTAATTGCATTTATCAGATTTCTTAAGTCTTTCAAAAAATTTATATCATATTGCTAATGTATAAATTGCTCCCCTAGGTCTGCTTGCTATACTCTGTATCCGTTCATATGGATCTTCCCAGATTTCTCTAAAACTATTCATTTTTTCATTTCTTTGGTATAATAATATTCCATTATATTCATATACCATAATTTGTTTAGCCCAATAGGTGGGCAATCCCTCAGTTTCCAGTTTTTTGCTACTACAAAAAGAATGAACACAATATCTTAAATTGGATATTATAACTTATATCCTATACCCTACACCTTCATCCAAGGTATCAGTCATATATGCCAGGCACTGTGCTGTACAAAGAATGAAGCAATCCCTATTCGTGATGAGCTCACATTCTAATGGGAGAGACAAGTACATATAAAAACACATGCAGCATAGGCATAAAGTTAAAAAATAAATATATGTGTATGTACATGTACATGTATGATACAAGTTAAAGACAAGGTATTCTAGGAGGGAGATCACTAGTAGTTGGTGAGATCAGTTGGGGTTCATTCAGAAGGTGGTACTTGAGTTGCAGAGAGGGTTTCTTTTAGGTAAAGGTAAGCAATGGAGTGTGTTCTTGGTATGCAGGATGGCCGGTAGTAAAGCATAAGATAGGCAATGGTGTAGAGTGAGTAAGGAACAGATAGAAGGCCAGTTTTGGGGGAATAATATTCATTGAGGCTGGGGCCATGTTGCACAGGCTTTAAAAGTGAAATAGGGGAGTTTATATTTCATTTCAGAAACAATTGGAGTTGGTTGAATAGGAGAATCACTTGGTCAGATCTTCACTTAAGGAAAATTACATGGGCAACAGTGTGTAGGATGGGTTGGGGTGATGAGAAGTATGAGGCTGGGGGACCAGTTAGAAAGTTGTTTTTAGTAATCTAAGCAAGTGATGAGAGCCTGAACTAAGGCTATGTGAATGGAAAGAAGGGGTCAGATATAAGAGATAGTGTAAAGGTAGAAACAGCAAGATTTAGCAACTGATTAGATAAGTGGGGTGAGAGTGAGAAAGTGAGGAATCAAGAACAATGCTGTGATTATGAACTGAGGCAATGAAAGGATGCTCATGCCTTCAACAACAATAGGAATATTTGGAAGAGGAGAGGGTATGGGGAAAAGATAACGAATTCAGTTTTATATATGTGGAGTTTAAGATATCTCTGGTATATCCAATTTGAGATGGGGGCGATATTGGGGCTGGATATGTAGATGTTGGTATCACCTGAACAGAGATGAGAGTTAAACCCATGGGTGCTGATGTGGTTGGAGAGAGAGAGAGAGAGAGAGAGAGAGAGAGAGAGAGAGAGAGAGAGAG